TAAGGCTTATTATTACTTTTTTTTAGTATAAGTTTATTAATCACCTATAACAACTTGTTGAATACTTCTTTCCTATTGCTTAAATATATAGTTGCAAAGCTGTACACACTACACAATCTTCTTACAGTTACAAGATAAAAAGCGATATTTAAATTGATTTAAATTGTACAGAAATTATATATTTGAATAGTCAAAGCGTTAATTGATAGTAGCATGATCGATATGTTTGCATTGTGTTTCTTGAAGAATCTAAACATTTATTTCTTTTTTGCCTTTCGTATTAATTTACAGATTACAAATATAAAGCATGTATTATTAACTGTAGTTATTATTTGTGGAAGATTACTTGCTTGCTTTATATTTTCATTGCAACAAAAGCCCAGTAAACACAGAATGTTTGTAAATGGGCCATAATCTATTAACGCTATTTTTCTTATTGTTACGGTCAGATATTTTTAAGGCCTCACCGAAAAAGAATATTTCATCAAAAATAATCACTGCACAAGAACAAATATTGACCACGTTATTTGTACGATCTGTGTTTGCCGGGACAAAGAAATAAATGTGAATGTTAGGAGTATTCGACAAATGGTTATAGGGAAGACAGCCTAATCCAAATAATCCCATGGAGTACTGTTCAACTATACCACCCTTGCAACAGTTAGCTGGCGGATTGCCTCCACCTCCCACAGTTATGGTGCCTGTTGGAGTTCTTAAAAGAGAAGGTGGTACAAAAAGCCGGTCAGAAGTGTCAAAGTCTGTTATGTTCAGTGACGGTAGGTCAAATTTTAGTACACTATTATACAATATAATATTTCTATGGAAAATGAATATGCAGTTGGAGTGGATGGTTGATTTTGCATTATGTTAAACAATTAATATATAATAAGGCTATCTATAGATATACTTACATCTATTGTACATTACTGTGCTACTTTATTTTTGACACAATTTAGCCTGCATCTAACCCAGACCTCGCATTTTATTTTTATTTCAAGAGTTTAAGTTTCATCCCTTGCCCTTGACAATATTCAGTTTTATCTTTGAATTCCTGGAAACGTTAACTCGATCACTGGCCTCGATCCTTCCTGTTTTGTTTTGGTTTTATGCACCTCTAACTAAAACACAGGAATAAGGCCTGGCTGTGACCTGACAGAACTAGATATGTCCTGGGATTTGAAACCACCCTACCGAAAATCTGGACCCAAGAGAGCATCTGTACCTGGGTCATCTGTGTCGGGTGCATCTGCTAAGAGGCAAAACCTGCCGCGTCTGGACCCAAATACTGAAAGTTATGTGCCACAGGATCCAAACTTTCTTCCTCCAACCGTAACGATACATAAAGGACGTAAGTAACAATTCTCATTTAATCTACGTTATCATACAATCAATCAATCAATCAATCAATTGTCTTCGTAGAGGTAACGTACCATGCTGCAACGGACGAGGGTCAACTTTACGCAACGCTGAAAAATGAGTGCGAACCGCCTGTTATATTCGCCATCAATCGGAATCTCTATGCTTGCGTTAAAATACTAAATTGTAAGTGTACGATCTATTATGATAATGGCAGTTGAAAGTAATCCAATGTTGTTGCAGTAAATTGTTGTATAAACAAAATATGTTGGAACGTAACGTCCAAAGGATTAGCTTGCGTGGGACAAGATGAAGTCATACTACTAATTGAAACGTTACCTGACGAGATTGGGGTTCCAAAGGATCTTCTCATTTTCATTAACCAGTTGTACCTTGAAGCTATTAAAGGTTTGCACTCATACTTCATTATTAGACTGTTGTATTTGATCAAAAACCAAATGAATTGGATAATTATCTGATCGTAGGAAACACCGTTTCCGAGTTGGGATTTTCACTGTATCAGGGAGGAAATCTTTTAGGTTCTCGAGAACATTCTGGATTCCTTTTTATACGGCAAAGTTTGCAGTGTTTGCAGAAAATTGTATTGCCCCCTGCTCCCTTCTTAGTCGGTCTTCTAGTACATAGGTCTGTTTCGAGAGAATTTACAATCGTTGAAAACGTTCGCTGTTAACGTGCGAATCTTTTTAGATGGGAGACGCCATGGGCCAAAGTGTTTCCATTACGGCTTGTTCTACGACTTGGTGCCGAGTATCGTTACTATCCTTGCCCATTGTTCTCTGTACGGTTCCGGGACGCTTTATACTTCGAGATAGGACACACAGTTATGAAAGTGTTGGCTGATTTTCGAAACTACGCATACACGTTGCCAGGAGTCAGAGGCTTAACGATACATCTAAGGAATAGGATGACGGACGTAATGTTCCCGAAGAACCGATACGATCAAGTGATAAAAGGCTTGAATAACTCAAATGATCACGTCCTGGCGTATGCCTCAAATTTTAGCATAGCGGCCGACTCGCACTTAGTTTGTATACAAACGAACACAGGCGATGAGAGTAGCTATCAAACACAGGCGATAAGTATCAATAATAAACCTAGAACAAGTGTGTATTTGACCGACAACGAACACAGAAAAAGATTATTACAATATATAGGGATCAGGCTGATTAGGGTTTTTCTCTTTATTCTAGTAACGGGGACTAGTTTTATTGTGATCAACGGTGCATTAAAATCGTCCATGGGACTGTCGGCTAAATCCAGTATAGTGGAAGATGGACTGATGGTAGAAATAATGCCGGAGAAAATGGAAGCTTTAAAAGCAGCTCTGAAAAATATGCAAGATTTTTCGATTGGTTGTGGTCGACAAGGTGCGCCTGAACCCGATGAGACGGTAAACATAAAGTGGGTCGAAAACGATGTACAATTTAATATAGGGTAAATATTCTTGTACCTTCGCATTACTCATTTTTCTACTATCATTGAATTTTCGGTTGGAGTTACCGAAAATTTCATTCTAGTGTAAAAAGCCCGATTGATGGACAATTAATGGACGGTATTCCATCGATTAGAGTCCATAATGGCACTGATTACAAGGGAACGACTAGATTCATTCGTTGGACAGAAGTGTTCATTATCAAGGTATTTCCAGTGACTTATTACTATTACGCAGAATGTTATTCATTTTAATCTAATCTCTTTTATTTAAAGTCTGACGACCACCCAAACGGTCTCCACGATCCCCTGGACATAAATAAATTATCTGGAAATATAGCAAAAGCAACGTCCACAGCTTTGGTAAAGTTATTGGATCTCCTAAGTGCCGCTGGTTTCACAAAACTTGGTGTAAGAACAACCATTCATCCTGACAATGTAAGTCCGTCGATTGCGTGTGAAGTGTTACTGATAATTTGATTACCGTTTCGCTTCTTGAATAATAACATTGTAATAATGCTAGGTGGGTTACGAAGCCGGTAGCGAAGGCATGAAATTGCCACCGATCTACATGAACAGTCTGGACAACGAATTAATTCAAGTTTTGCATAAGGCAGCGCAAAGCAGTCAGGATACGCATACTGTGCTTGAACTAATTTTTTATATTCTTGACGATTAATGTCGCCAGTTACTTCTGTTTTGTTAACTATTTCCAGGCAAGATATGGAAATACATAAATATACATACATATAATATAGATCGCGACATTCATACACTAGAGATGTACAGTCGAAACTTTCGTGAGGAACGTCTAGGTAGATCTCTTGAGTGGGGGAAAAATATTTTCTAACTGTATGCTATCAACATAGTGACCACAGAAACGCTTATATTATAAATTGTACTAAATCATGTCCATTAAAGATAGAAATGCTACTAATACCCAAATATAATTCACAACGCGCCGAGCGTTACGAATCGAATTCGAAGTCGGATAATCTGTTCTCCTTTAAATTGTATCAGTTCTAGATTCTTAGCTCTCGAAATCGAGATAGCGTCTATTATTATATCATCCGTTGGGAAACGCTTATAATATTCTTTTATATATTGTATATGAGTATACATTTTTCAAGCGTCGGAACTGTTTGACAAGAATTTGTTCGCGGCCAAAAACTGAAATAAGGGGAAGAAATACCGTCATTTGTTATTTACATTATGTAAATATATAATACGTTTTGTTGTTATTCATGTAATATTTGTATAATGATAGTTGAATAGTACTTTTTTGACGGAAGAAAGTATTAAAAATGTTACTAAATAAAATGGTTTTTGTTAATCCGTTGAACATTTGCATAAATTTCTAATTACGATGACAGAACTCTAATCACGTATAATGTATCTATAAATACACATACACATGCATTATTGACAACACATTTTTTGCGTTTTTCTTCGGTATAAATGAAGTAAGTTGGTGTCGGCGATTTTTTACCTTCTTTTGATTATTTCACGGTACAGACATGCTTAAAATAATTTTTTCGGTAATATTTAGTTGACAAAATAGCGGACATAACCATACAACGTCTCAAACTTGCCGCATTTTTGTACAAAGGTCCGTACAGCGCCAATTAGTAAGTGGCGAAATGCTCAAACCTCTACTCAAAATGATATCGACGAAGTAAATTACACCCGCGATATTAGCGCTTCTTACGGCGAAATCACGAAGTTCTGTTCAGCGGTAGGCGCCAATTAATTTTATAACCAAACGCTGAAACTGGTAAACAAAATTACCAAATTAATTAATTATGTTTTGCATCGTTGTCATTTGATCTTTTTATGCGATATCAATATAGTAGATTTTCCTGAACAATGTTCTGTACTTGCTTTATTTTGATATGCCTTAATTTTGCTATAATTTATGTTGTTTAACAACCCTGCATAACGCATAAAGGATAGAATTAGTTCGGGCCTCTGCCGTTATGTGATGATAGTGTTTTGTGGTTCATAATCTGTGACCCCGGTCCCGTGCATATATTTATATATGTAGCGGAGTATATCCTTTATGTATGGAAAAAATGAAATATTATTTAACAACATTGTAAACGTAGATTTTTAATGCGAATACACGCGCGCCTGAATTTTACGTGACGAATCGGCAAAAGTCATGCGGTAGAAAATGACTGATCTGATGCGCGAGTCGTGTGTGCCCTCGGTTGCGCACAAAAAATGGTAACAGTGAGCAAACTCTGATCGTGGTTCTGACCAAATACCTCCGAATGTTTTCGTTGGAAAATACAACGAAATATTGCGTAGTATTTAAAAGAAAATGGAGAAGTCCATGTGTTCGTTATTCTTCGGATAAAATTTAATGTGCTGTCCGTATTCGTTCTATCATTGACAGCTGATATGATATGATCATGGCGGAGTCCACAAAAAAGACGGAAGACGATGAAGTTAAGTGTAAAATTTTGATTATCGGAGCTGGAATGGCCGGTTTGTCGGCTGCAAATCATTTATTGAAGAACGATGAAACCGATTTTTTGATCGTAGAAGCACGAGGACGTATAGGTGGTCGTATTGTCGCATTGAAAATTGGTAAGTATCCGCTTAACCTTCTTTCGGATTTTCTTCACAAGACTTACGTTAAACGGTTTCCGGTCGAATGATTTGAATTGAAAAATCTATCGGTTACTTTAAATATATTTTCCATACTTTAAGCGATATTTGTATTGCTCCTTCATTAACGCGTGTACTAGACATATACATATATACGTAAAACGAGGTACCAAATTCGCACATCTAAACAACGTGTGTTACGCATTTGTTAAAAGATTGTCTCGATTACATTGTAAGGTAGATATCTTGCCTGTGGTTAGCAGGCTTGTTTGCGATTCATTGAGATAACATATATTTTGCTTTAGGTAACGAAAAAGTTGAATTGGGAGCAAACTGGATTCATGGAGTATTAGGAAATCCGATGTTTGAATTGGCAATGGCTAATGGACTAATAGATATTGTAAGAGTACCAAGGCCTCATAAAGTTGTAGCAGCCATGGAAGATGGTAAACAGTTGTCATTTCCGATCTTGCAAGAAATCTACGAAGCTTATATATGTTTTTTAAAACGATGCGAAGAATATTTTCTAAGTCCGTATAGCCCGCCGGACGGAATAAACAGTGTCGGTGCGCACGTGGCATTAGAAGCTGAAATTTATTTGTCATCCTTGCCCGAAGAAGACAAAAGAGTCAGGCAATTATTGTTTGATTGTTTACTTAAAAGAGAAACCTGTATTACTGGCTGTGATAGCATGGAAGATGTTGATCTCTTGGAAATGGGTTCTTACGCGGAATTGCAAGGTGGAAACATTAGTCTTCCAGATGGGTATAGCGCGATATTGGAACCAGTAGCCAAACACATACCAAAAACCAGCATTCTCATTAGACATGTTGTGACTAAAATTCGGTAAAGAAAATTCCCTATTTCTAATGATATTTATTAGGGGCACTGTGCGACGAAAGTATTTTCTTACACGAGTTGCATTGATCGTAGGTGGCAGAGGAAGAAGCACATAGAGGAGGAAAATTCCAAGAACGTTAGTTATAGCGATTCGAACGACTTTATCGAAGTACAATGCGAAAATGGAAAAAGGATACTAGCAGAACATGTGATTTGTACATTGCCATTAGGAGTTCTTAAGGAAAAAGCTAACAATATATTTGAACCGCCTCTACCTAATTATAAACTCGAAGCCATAGATAGATTACTGTACGGTACGGTGGACAAAATATTTTTAGAATACGAAAGACCTTTTCTAAATCCTGGTATATCGGAAGTGATGCTTCTTTGGGACGACCGACGATTGCTGGAAGAAGAGAAGCAAGACATCAGTAAAACGTGGTTTCGAAAGATCTATTCTTTCACCAAAATTTCAGAGACATTGTTACTGGGATGGATATCGGGAAAAGCAGCCGAATATATGGAGAAATTGAGCGCCACGGAAGTAGCCGACGCGTGCACAACAATATTGAGAAAATTCCTGAACGATCCGTATGTGCCAGCCCCAAAAAACTGTATTCACACCTCGTGGTACTCGCATCCGTATGCTCGTGGTTCGTACACAGCGATGGCCATTGGCGCAAGTCAATTAGACATCAACCGTTTAGCCGAACCTATCAAGCAGGAGAACGATCCGTCGAAGATTGTTATAGCGTTTGCCGGCGAGCACACGCATTCTTCCTTTTATAGTACAGTGCATGGCGCCTACTTGACCGGCCGGACCGCTGCTCAAGCGCTGTTAGAGTCCAGGAAGAACGAGAAAAATTTGTTGAGCCTTAGCTGCGAGGATACAAACGATCTCAGCTCGTGGATACAAGGGATCTCGCTGAATTAGGAATAGGCAAAGATTCATTCGAAAACATGGAGGAAAGAAACAACTCGACACCGAGAAGAAGCTGTTCTCTACGTCAACGTTTACACATGTATCGAGCACAATTTATTACCGACGGTTACGAACAATATTTGACACACTGTCGCGAGGCGACAATTGTGATTTCTATAGGCATCCTAGTATTAAACGCGAGTTTCGCAAACTGTTTTTATTTTGTAAATATTATAGTGAATATTGTTTATATTATGTACATAACAACGCCTGTCTAAAGACTGTTAAGACTATTTGTAAACACGCATCCTGTTGATTTTAGAAAATCATTGTCGTATCTTCGATGAGAGATCGTTTGAAATCACAAAACGTTGCTTCATTTGATAAGATCACCCCAATGTCTAGTTGCAGAAGTTCTATAACAGTATACAGGGTGTGCCGCCAGAACCAAAATTTCAATAGCGTCAAAATATCATTCGGAAAAATCGCATAATTCGGTGACTTCGGTCTTGTCCACACGTTTCGAAACTTGTCAACTATTGTTTTCTCAATGCATATGGTATGTAGTGTGTATATTCTATGCAAGTAACAAAGTAAGATCCTCGGCAGTATTCGTGCGCTACGCTTCTGGCAAATCGCCCTGTTTCATTGAACGCAGTTGGATGTATTTTTTTTGTCTTATAATTATAGAAATTGATTGAGACGTTCGCGTTCTTAGTCGTGTAACGATAACGTACATTTACTGTTTTACTTACGTTCGTAAGACTATCGGTTAAGGTGATGTTGCGACAAGTTTGTCGGTCCACGCTTCACACAGCGAAAATAGAAACGAAAACAAAGAGAATCAAAGGAAAGGTATTTCTACGAAATTCCAACAAAATTCAACGACATTGTACACGCATGTGCATCTCGAGTCCACATTTATGCCAGTGGCAGAGAATATTAGAAAGATTTGCAAGAGATCCAGGAGTCATCAGTTATTATTTCTACGAGAGATTAGTGCTCTTATTCTATTCTCTTTTGCTTATATAAAGACACTTTTCTATGGAAGTATTAGAGAAAACTTGCATTTTATCTAGTCACAATGCCTCAAGCAACTTAGTTTTAAACGATTGTTATATCTGTGGTTTTTCTCAATTGTTATTCGATACCAAATCCGTTAACCGATAAGTTAGTAAATCAAACTGTGCTACTCGTTTTTGCAGACTCGTTTGTAACTTTAAGACGACAGAATAGAAAACCTCCGGACGGTACGTTTCTGTTTAAAATGTGATAGAAACATTTGCAACAACTGCTATTTTACTATATTGTACATTTACACGAAAGTAAGCTTTCTTTTTCTGCAATAACGAGATACCAAATACGTGTATGTATTTATTTTTCTGTAACTGCCACTTAACATTAATTCATGATAGCGCAAATCCGAGGAAAAACTAATTGAAACAAAAAGAAATGTTATATTATGCACAGATAATGCTACAACTGAAATAAATAATTTTCAGTAATTACCTTATGATAATTATTTCATGTTTCAAACGAACCTATATATACGTATACTGTACATGTCACCCAAACGATCCAACACGTAGAATAGTTTTTATCGGTTTCCGCTGTGACAGAGGTATTACTTTAGTTTCCACGTGACATACGATTTTATTTGGAAATAAGCAATGTCTTTATTGTTATATCAGTTTGTACATTTATTGTACAAATAAATATTATACAGCATATTGTTATGCAACTATGGCATTACTTAAATACGTACAGGTACATACATAAATACTATTTATAGAATTCGATTAGAATTTGCAACTGCATATCAGTTCGCGAAATCAGCAATAGTAATATTTGATATATCGAGAAGAATCGTAGTGTATTGGCGTTAGCTTTTCTCAATTAGAAATTTCAAATATTCTGTGGTATATTATTCCAAATAATGATCATATTTCGGTGTTGTGTAAAGATTGAATTAATTAGTTTAATTGATTCGAAGCTAAGAAAAGCTAATTCAATTCCCCAACAACTTGATTACACGAAAACTGACATAGAACTACGTAAAATTAACTATACAGTTCATATATATATGTATATTTTTTTCATTTTCTTTTCTCTATCTTTCTCTTTTTATTCCGATACATCCTCTCCAAAGAATAATATATTAGTATTTTTAGTTATTAATTTTTCTGAACGTTCAACGTTAGATTAGAATCCCTTAAATATTAGATATGCTGTACTTTTCGATTGTTTCGATCGTTTAGGTTTTAGATGAATCGGTTACGATGCAAGAAACTTGAAATGTAGTACAGTACATAGTTATCTTATGACTTAATCGACTTTCGTCCGTGTAAAGTATAGCACAATGAATAAGTTAAAAATACAAGTTTTGACTGTTCAGTTACACTCATCGCATGCACCGATATGACTGCGTAAACGAATATATGTGGTAATAAACGTTTCATAGATTCGGTGAACACTTTTCATCTAGATAGTACGTCGGTAAGGTACTATAGTAAGAGATTAAATACCATAACATCTTTGATCACTGGCACTACGGTTGCTATCAGTATTCGACAACTTCTTTTCTGCGTTTCTCAGCAAATAATGCTAACTATGGAGAATTGAACACATTCGTAACGGATTTGTATTATCGCTTTCACGATGTCGGAAAGTAGTAACAATTCATTTCACGCTTGTTCAACTATTTCATCTTCCAGCTAAACAGTAAGTTGTAATAATTATATAGTTCGTATAGTAATGGAAGACAAGGCTTAATATAGCAAGTGTATGCATGTATATATGTGTGGGTGTATGTATGTATGTGTGTGTGCGTGTGTCTGTAATTATCGTTGGTACTAATACTGTTGCTAATTTATTGCTTAGCCGTTCAAGCTTTCGAATGAAAATGCGTCTTACGTCGCGACTTGAACAGAAAAGGTTATTCAACGTGGGCCAATGAATTTTCTATGCGTCAGCTATTGATCGGATAAATTTCTGTTGCCTCGTACGATTAGGATTCCTTAAAAATACGACCGAGAAACGGTTAAATTCGGAGGTGACTATGTAATAATTAGCAACAAATTTCGAAAGAAATTGAAACATTTGGGCAGTAACTTGGACGTTCGTGCTAATCTATCGGAACGCTTTTTAAGTGTACAGAATTTTCCTAGGGAGCTACGTCGAACAGAGACGAACAGTTCCTAACGATATTTAGATTCGATCGCGTGTTCGACAGTATCGCGGAAACAATTTCCAAGTCAGTAGAAACGGAGCCGATTTGAAAAACAACACTGACAAGATTACGTTCGACGTATTTGGCATATTTGGCACTTGGCATCGCGGTGTTCTCGGAATGCGTACCGAATGGAAATCGGTAATCACTGTGAAACTCCTAGCGTCTTCCCACATTCATTTCCGGTAGCTGGAAACGACCATTAAAACATGATCAGACCGTACGATCATTTTGTACTCTTTAACTGAACGAGATTAAATCTAAAACAAAACTAATCACGCCTGTGGAAGTATGTTGTAGCGCGAAAGGGTTATTGTTATCGCTCGACGGCGGATCGATCTCGTCACGGCGCAGTAAAAGATTTCGTTACAAGATACGATATTGTTGCCACCGTTGTTGCCATAACAGAACCATTTTGGTGTCCCGAGTTTCGTGTACGTGTTCGATAAACTTCTTTGTGCAGGAATGTGCGGTGTCGAAGACGAAAGGAACGCCTCGACGAGACAAATGATCTGTTACCGATGCTAACTTCATATGGACGTCGAGGTGTGACGATCTCCTCCGTTTTGAGACTGTGTATTGTGAGGCAGGGTGGCTAACTCGTTTTTGCTCAGGTAGTTCACTATACCTGCCCCCAGGGAATCGCCTACCACGTTCACCGTTGTTCTACAACGATCTCTGCGGATGAACAAATTAATCAAAGATCTAAGTAAACAACTTCGAATTTCCAGCAACCAGAGACCGAGTCAACTTACAGCAACCAATCGACTGCAATCACCAGGAACACATCATCTGCTGGCAGACGAACCGTGTCCAGTACCATCACCATGGTCACCAGGCCTGCCTGTGGGATTCCAGCTGCCCCGATACTTGCCGCAGTCGCTGTTATACTAAAATCGAAAAGCATCCGATCAGTGTTTATTGGATTTTCACTGGTTTGTATCTAAGACCCTCGTCTCTCACCTGACAGCCACCAATTGTCCAAAGGTGAGGCTGACTTGACGCACTTGAGCGATGAAAATCGCTGCCACAGCCTCGTAGAGAGCCGTGCCGTCCATATTGATGGTAGCGCCTATGGGCAAAACGAACCTGGTGACCCGTGGATCAACGTGATTCCGTTCTTCCAGGCAGTTGATGGCGACAGGCAGGGTGGCGGAGCTCGACGACGTGCCGAAAGCGGTGACCAGAGCTTGCGCCAGATTCGATATGTAAACGTACGGATTCCTCCTTGTGATCACAAAATACAGAATTGGCAGAACTATGAAGCCGTGTATGAACAGGCCGATCAACACGGTCAAGAAGTACATGCCCAATTGGGCAACCACCTCGTCCAGCGACTGCATCTCGGTGATTTTCGCGGCTACCAGGAACAACACGCCCACCGGCGACAACCTGGAAGACGGTGTAAATTTAACAGGAAGCGACATTGCTTTTGCAGCGAACGAAGCCAGGTACGCACGTTATTGAAGCTTCGAGATATACTTGATACTCGATACCACCCCTATTTAACACGTTGATTGCCACGCGTATTTACAACAAAATCTCCTACAGGCCACCCGTGCCGCTATAGGAAGCGTGCGCTGTTAATTCATATCTGTTTCTGTTCCTGCATGAACAGTTGGAATCTTCGCCGAGTACCGAATGGTATAACTTAAAATCTCTGCCCTTATTTTTTTTCAATAATGAAAAGAGATCGGATTGCCCGGAAGGAGAAGCATAAATAAAATTACATCGTCAGATTCTGATTTGGATACTGATAAATATAATTTTAGTGATAATGAATGTTATGAAGATACTATTGACGAGATTTTACGAGAGAATTGGTCATGGAAGAAGAAAGAAATGTCGATGATACTAGGGAAGCTACAGTTCAAATAAAAGATACGAAATGGACCGATCAGAGGCACGAGCATATCTGAAAAAACAAACAACTTTTTGTCCAAGCTGTCCTGATCAACCTCAACTTTGCAGAGAATGTTTTAATGTTATACACTGCGAATAATTTTTTTAATAAACCATCTTTATAAGAATTCAATAGTTTCATTACCTCCTGTAGAATATTTGTCGAAATATTTTCGGAAATCCTTTGTAGGTAGTCAAATCAGCGTCACCCGAATTACGGGTGACGTGGCCTGATGAGAACTTTTGCTGTCACCCGAATACGGGTGACGCGGCAGTCAACGTGTTAACGGGGTGACATTGGAACTTTGTTCATTAGATTTTGAAAGTCTCGTAACTTCAACAACTGCTACCGATCGTCTCCTGTCGAAAGGAGCGGCTAAAAACACACGCACGCGCACATAACACGGATACACACGGCATGCATAGTGTTCTGCGACACGCGTTCGTCAAACGTGAATTTACCAAATGACCCAGTGAGTGATCAACATCATCGCGCCCGACAAGGACTCGAAGAAATAGAGCAGCGGTTTCCCTGTCTCCTCCATCTTGCCCAGAGTAATACCTAGAACCGTGGCAAAGACAACCAGACCCATGATGTTTGTTCCGGAGACGCTCTTCTGCACCGGCTCCCAGTCGTCCATGTTGACTGCCCGGGAGAAAAAGAACGGCGGTAGAGTACAACAGCAGTTATAGCAGAACACAATTACAGTATCGTTCGATATCATTGATCATCACCCGACGTGCTGTTCTCCGGTTTCTGCATCTCGGTTCGGTGTTGTGAAATGCAAGCCTCGACCAGATTCGGCGGGAACATGTTTCTCACGAGATCCATCAGGGTGTCGACGGTGGAAACGTTCTGCGGCGGTGCTTTCGTTTTCACGTGCGGGTTGTTTCCCACGCCTGGCTGAATGGTGATCACCAGAATGATGCCTGAAAGAGGAAGGAGAACCGAGCGGATCGATCGAATCGTGAACCGAGCAAAAACCATCCAACTTCGAACAACCGACCTAGAACAACGGCGCTGATAGTGGTCACCATGTAATATGTAACCGCTCGATAGCCGATTCTGCCGCTAAGCGAGAGGTCCAGAGACCCGATGGCCGATACCAAGCTGGAGATGATCAGCGGCAGTATCAAGCTCTTCAGCATCCTCAGGAACAGATCGCCGATATAGTTGATGTACATGATCTCGCGCGGTTTCCATCCTTCCGTCCTCGTGGATCTCAGGATGATGCCGAGTATTACGCCGCCGACCACCCCGCCGACCGTCAGGATGGTCAAAGAGTTGTGCTGCAGGCACGAGCGAATCTTCTCCTGTCTGGTCTTCGGCCTTTTGTTTGGCTCTTGAGGGTAGTACGAGGTGCGCTCCGCGATTTTGCATTGGCTGTCGGATCCCGATAACGGCGCTCTGCAACCGTGAAACATAGAAGAATTTAGCGAAGACAACGGGTGAGATCGAGACAGACCGGAATCAGAACGATCTGCTCCTGTACCTGTTCGCTTTTATTCGCGATCGGAATCGTTTTGCATTAATCAAATTTGCATGCGAATAGGCTCTCGCGGCGTCTCCTCGCGGGCTTACCGCGTTGCGCAACATCGTTGTTTACAACAGTGTTGAGAACATCGCGCGGAATGAAAATACTCCGGCCAAAGGATAAATGTTTTCACCGACGAAAGGGTTAATTGCGACGGTTAATCCGTTAACGGTGTCAACGAGGCAACGCTTGCAACACAGCCACAATTCCGTCGGTGAAACTAATAAACTAGACACGGAGTCGCGGATTACGCGATCGTTAGCAAAAAAAAAGGAAAGGAAAAACGTAGACAACGATCGCGTCGCATTTTCGCCGAGAAAAACGATTACTTCAGCGCGTCGGATTTTTCTTTTTTAGACCGATTGCTGCTGCTGTTTTCTGTTGTTGCAGCTGCTAGCGCGATTCAATCACGAACGTTTCTCTTTCCGTCGCGGAACGCCAGAGAAATTGGCGCATTCAGAATATTGTCAGCATAATTGGCAATTCCTATTTTCGTGTGATCGGCGGATGCGTGTGGAGGCGCGCATCAGCACACCGGTGCACCACGAACGCATCCTCCGAGCCAGGGACTTGAACGGCCGCAACGGCGGCTTTGATATCGTGTTGCACCAATTTATAAAATATTCCGCTCGGCTCTGTTCGTCTTTTCGGTTCTGTTTCTTAAAACTCGACGGACGCCCCCGTTCGCCGTTTCGAAAAATTGGAAATCGTTCTCCGAAACGTCCGATCGAGGTGACAGATCGCAGTCCGAAATTTGCAAAGCTTTCGCGTCGTTTTTGCGAAAGCATACGCGTCGAAGGCTACCGCTCGCGTATGAAAGCGCGATGATTGACAATGACTTCGGCCAACTCCGTTATTACGTTCCCGCGCACGTTCCTCTTCATCTTAGCCGCTCGGTCGCGCTCGCGTTCGCCAACAACCTTCTAATCTAATCGAGTTAAATAATCGGTCGAGACGTTTGACACTGTCTCTTCGTGTCTCTGATTCAATTCGATTCGGTTCGGTTCGATTCGATTCGATTCAACCGGTGTAACAATGTTTCATCGAACAGATAACAAAGCAAAGCCGCGTCGTCGAACCCGTCGACCGGCGACGGAATGTTCGAAAATTTCGAAGCAACTGCTGAAACATCGTTCTATCGAATAATCTTTAACCCCTCAATGCACAGTTTTTCTGAAAAAGGCCGGCCAAAAAGAATCAATTTTTTTTAATGTAAAAGAACACAATTTAGAACGTTGTCTTGGCAAGAAAATTACAAAAATACGAAAATAATCAAAATTTCTATTGCAATTTTGGATTTTGATAACATTGCAGAAAATAGTCGAATATTGTGATATTACACGCACATCGACTTTTTTTATCTTCCTTTTCGAATTCCCATTTCAGAATAAACATTATTATCAGTAAAAATATTTATTTATACTTTTAAAACATAAATAATAACAATACTAGTATTTATAATATTTATTATTATATTTATATATATATTATTATTTATATTTTAGTTTACATTATATTTTAGTAAAATATATATTGAAAAATGAGCGAATCAGGATCTGAATATGAATACGCTGTCGGAAAGCGGCTCACAAGGAAGAGATAAGTCGTAAGTTATTCGTAGAAAAAGGATATATTTTATACTCTTGAATAAGTAAGTGTTATAGCTTACAATCCCATGTAAATGATAAATATCAATAAAACGATTGTTTCTTTTTTTGCTTTCACATTGTTATTTTCAATTCTCGATTGCATTCGAGTGTGAAACATTATAGCAACATAAAGTACAACGCCGCTCGAATTATCTCTCTAGTGTGCACAGTTTGGCCAGTTTAGCGCGCTCGAGTTAACTCGAGCGTGCACGTTAAGGGGTTAATTATCAGTCTCGTTGGACAATGAACGGTATACATGTATAATAGTTGCCGGTGGTATTAATCTCCCAAAAGATGAACAAAGCCAATTGGGAACCGTTGTGCGCGACCGTGCGAACAGAAACATTTGAAATGAATCGCGGATCCATTTAGCGGATTACAGAATAACAGAGAAAACTGAATCGCTCGCGCGTTAAACCCACGAAATTTCGAGGCACGAGAGGCAAACGGCGAGCGGTACATCGAAGAAACAAGATGGTGGGTGTTACGTACAGTTCGGTGGCGACTTCCATGACGGTGCCGGATCCTCTGCTGGGCTATGCTTGCCTGGCGTAATTATCGTGTCACGACGAAAGACAACGGTCGCCCGTTCGCATAGAGTATAGAACGTCACTTCCGGTCAGCCGGAAGCGGCTGGTGCGCGTCGCGTCCCCGATGGGTGCGGGGAACGAAAACCTCCGAAACGGTCGCCCTTCCTTCTCCCCTTCGCCCCGGTTCTTCTTCCCGTTCACCGACCAGCCGAAGAAGCTGGAGCGAGAAAGTAAAAGCGCGACGATGAAGACGCGCGAAACCAGCAGGACAGAGAAGAGAGCTTCCGGTTGCGAGCCGCGACTCTCTCGGAGACCTCGGGTCGGAGGGACGCACGCTCGCCGTTTCTTCCGCTCTCCGTTAAGCTTCCGGCGTACTTCCGGCAGACTTCCGGTTTAGGTTCGCACTCTACGTCCGCTCGGTTCTACAGAGTTCTTCCCGTCGGTGTTTTTGCTCCGTTTCGGGGAGCGGCTAGCGACGCTGACCGCGGTGTCTTAGCTACTGCCAAGATCGAATGCAAACCGTTCCTTCTCCCATGTCGGAGAACCCGAACTCAGGCTCGCGCGGACACCGCACAACAACGATTGCCGACGATTGCGACGATTGCAACGATTGCGCCGATTACGAGACGAGAGGAACACCACTTGCGAACGTTTCAGCCGATCGATCCGGTGAATCGCGAGGAACAGCGGCTCGCACCGCCGGAAGCCTCCTCCAGCGTTACTGGTAGCTCACTGTAACCGACAAGAGGACTCTAGATCTCTAGCCTCTAGGGGGAGAGCGAGCGAGAGGAGAGGAGGGGGAGAGGAGCAGCAGCCAGAGGCCCGGAGGAGTTGAAGAAAAGGATCGATCGAGAGACAGCTCGGCGAACCGAACGAGACGTTCGTCGCTCGTTCGACGATAGGATAACGCTGGACAAACGCGAATCACAGCTTTCGACGGTGGTTCGACGGTGGTTTGACGGTGGTTCGTCGGTCTGCTCGGCGAGGAGAGGATGTGTGCTGATGGAGCTCTTAATCTGTGCCACCTTGGGTGGTACGATTAGCTATGGCGATCCCCCAGCGGCGATCTCTTCCTGCCGTGACGGCCTATCATCGTCAGATACGTTACAAATACGCGATGGCCGACCCACGATCCACGCGATCCACGATCCACGATCTACGATCCACGACCCCATCGGGAGCACCGGTTTATGGATCTATTGTTCGACGGTCGGCTCTCTCTCTCTCTCTCTCTCTCTCTCTCTCTCGCCGTCTCTCGCCCTGCTCTCTATACGCGCTTACATGGGAGAGGATCGCCCGTGCCCTTCCTCTGATACACACCAGATCCCTTCCTTCCGACTTGAACTAAATCCCTCTTCCTCCAGCGTCCCAGCGGCGTCCAAACGGCGTCCAAGTCGCGTCCTAGAGCGTTATCCAGCACCCTTTGCCTATCCACGATGGCCTGTAACCACGGCGGACGAGATCTTGTCCTCCTTCGGTCCTATCATGCCAGGACACGTTTCCTTTCCATTGTCGTTCGATCTGAGGGGGGGAAAATCAAAATTGTAAAACCATATTTTATCAAATTGTCTGTCGGCGAGCCGATCCCAACTTTTGGAAAGGACTCGCGACCCAAGGGCCAGTTCGACGCGCGGCCATGCACGACGGCTTTCCACGGTGAGAAAATAAATGAATTAATCGGGTACGCGCGTACTCGATCGAAAGTGACGCAACTAGAGGGAGAAATGACTTTGATAATTAGTCGGGTACGTGTGTACTTGACTGAACCCCAGTCAAGCATGATACACTTCCGCGACTGCGATTAGCGGCATAGCAGCCTGTTGGCAACCCCGACACCGATGTATTTTCTTCTGCTTATTCTACTTATTCCAGCTACTATATTCATTCATCGCGAACAATTCGACTGTACGTAGAACACTGCCATCATCCATTTTGGCGGCGCCGAGGCGCGGCGTAAAGAGGGTTGCCCGCCACCTTCCGCCTCTCGCCGTTCGCCGGTTGTCCCGAATAACGCACCGCGGAAAATTTTCGAAGGCTTTCTTCCTCTCGACGCGGCTCACGGTCCTAAAAGCGACCCATTTCCTTCGCATCCAGCCGGCCCGGTTGCTCTCAGCCGTTTAACATTCGACATTCAACCCCCCTTTAGCCTTCTCAACGGCCGATTTTTACGGATCGACGGTTATTTCTACGTATCCGAGTTATCCCGAGCGTCGCCGTTAAGTATCCCGGTTTTAATTAAGCTAAGGACCGGATCGAATTGCGTCACGCGACAAATTTTTTGGTTTCAACGATTCCCCGTAGCGTTGCAACAGTTCCGCTCGACTTCCCGGATTATGCCGCTAAATGGCCATTTTCTCGATCAAACGTAATTTTGTTCGGAGAACCGGCCGCGTCTTGATGACATGGTTCTTCGTTTAAACACCATCATCTGTTGCCGGATCGGTGCCGTTCCACGTGCGAACCGTGGACCAATTACCGTGCCATCATCGTTCGGCAAGCGAAACGATTCGAACGCGCGACTCTCCTCGAGCATTCGCCAAACGAAATGGTGACCGGATATTTCGCATCGATTCCGTCGAACCGATCGAACGGACCTCGCGTGGATTTTGAACGTGAACCAGTCCGCGTCCGCTCGGGCCCGAAGAGTTCGCGGCGATCTCCGGGCTGTCCCATTCTTTAATTTAATTCAGCGCATGACCCGAACGAAATCAATTACAAACTTGACCCACCTCTACCCTTCCTGCCGCCGCACCGCGGCAAATCGTACCGAACCTTACCGAACCGTACCGAACTGTACCGAACAGAACCGTACAGAACTGACGAGAAACACTTCAAAGTATTACAACTTCCTTCCTCCTCCCTTTACTGGCCGTTGCTCGCCGAAGAAACAAAACGAGCGGACGCGATGCTGTCCCTCGGCCTCGGTCCCTCCTCCTCCGTTCCGCCGTTATTGTAATAATTTACGTAAGGCCGGGCCGTTCGAAAACCGTACGAACGTGTTTCCGAGTCCGAGGCCCGGTTGCGAAACAATTTATTTTGAAAATGTTGCTCCGTCACGTCCTAACGTTGTCACGGTGCCCGAGCGCGGATTCTCGTCGTCGCGTCGACGATAACCAGACGGATCCAACGGGATCGTCCTCCGGATAGATCCTGCAGCAGATCCATGAGATCAGTTATTTCGGAGACCGAGCGCGGTCGTGGACTATGAACGCTAAAAAACCGAATCAAGTGCAACAAATTCTCCTTAATCGGCGCTCAGCTTGTACACAAAAATGAACAATTTGGGTAAAGGAGGTGCGATTATAAATATTACCTTGCGGCTCGTTTTCATAGTTGTTGACAATCGGTAACCATAAAAACGAGCCGCGAGGCTTCAATAATCGTATCGCCTCTTCCCAAATTGTCCACAATCTTGTGCACAATCTTATTTGCCTGTTCGAAATCTTCAAAGTAGGCCAACGATTCGTATCGGATTTCTCGAGGCGCGACAAATTTCGTTCGCCGGAGATCCGCCGTTTCATCGTTGACCTTCGTTAACTCAAACGATCACGCGGCTACATGAAACGTTTACTTCTGTGTGTTTCTGAACCGGCTCGGCAGCATCGTTTCTCGAAGACTGAGAAGGAGAACAAGGGAAGAGAGAACACGCGCGCGAGAGAGAGAGCGAGAGAGTGTATGAGAGAGAGACCGTGGGTTAAACAATTATTCATTCACGCGAATGCTTCTAGGTTGTACATAATTAGATAACGCCGCGGATTCGTTACGCGATCATAAAGCGTCTCCATAAACGAACTTAGAACTTCGCAAGAACCGTAGCTGCTGAGCGGGCGTGCCCGCAACTCGTAGCACGTTGCAGCGAGAATTAGTGATTTTCATGGATCGTGTTTCCCGAAGACAGATTATGTACTCGGCCGACGCTAACAAAACCTGCAACAAATTATTTGCAACGTGTATCGTACATCAAGCTGAAATTACACACGAGTTGGCAAAAGCTGTTCGATAAAGACAATACGAACCGTCGCGTTACAGGAAGAAAGACGGCCAAGATTCTTCGTACAAAAATAACGTAAGAATCGCTATTTCTCATCGCGGGCTATTTTCTCAAGGTAACGGATTTGAATATTGATCGAGCGTTGTCAAGCGAGCGTTCGAAGGGAGCTCGCATGGGACGCGTCTCTGTCCGTCTGCGAAACGAATCGATGATCGGGGGCAGGAGTCCGATCGATCGGGAAACGGTGTGGATCGGCCACAAAAGCCGATTCGAACAGTTCGAACAGTTTCCGCCCACGTTTCGATCCCATCATCCGCTTGTGTATCATCGACCGATTGCGTCACGCGGCCGGTTCTATAATAGTTCATTAAATTGCCGGTAATTCGTGGTCGCGGGGGTATTTTATGCAGTATAAATGAATGAGCATTACCGTGCTATACTTTCAAAGGCCAATTTACGTGTCCGCTGCGTGCCAATCGCGAAAACAAGTCGGAAGGCTCGTCGATCTCGATCGTCCGGATCGTGGAAATCAAATTTCCCGCTAATTTTCACGTACTCGCTTGTCGTTGCCTCGCCACGATCATCTCCATGTACGGGGCCCGTGGAAAAATTGAAAAAAAAAGAAAACAAGAAAATATCTTATCGTACCCGAAGTAATCGAGAGCTATTGTACGAAAATCACCTGTTAAGTCGATTAGCGAGGAAAAACAATGAACTCGTCGTTCGATTTTACCTTCGCTTTTCAATGCTTCGTACCTCTGTTATTCTTATCGAATTTTCAAATTAGATTGAGTCAGATCTCCTCGTTTCAATATGGTTTCCGACTTTCGGCTAACGTTAATGCGCCGCGGCTAAGTCTCCCGCGTAAAAGCGAACGCCCGTCCTTCCGCACATGCGCGCCAGATCCCCGCGCAAACGTTTCGTATTTTCTCAGTGTTAAACGATTTCTCCGTCGAACGTGCTTCTTTAACCATAACAAAGCAGCGCATCGAATGCTCTACGAGTCATAGTCGGTTTTAGCGAATTTATTATTAGTTTGAATTCGATGCAGCTTGAAACCGCATTAGTCGCTCAAGTGCTCGGAGGAAACTCAAATTAAACAATTATATTTCGTTTTCCTTTGGACGCTGATTGTGTTATCCTCCATTTTCCACCTTGTTAAGAGATTTTACGGTTCGATTAACGGAAGCTTGAATTCTACTGAAGTTGGCTTCAAAAATTGGGGTTAGGTTCCGATTGTTTATAACCACAAGCCACCATGGATATAGCCAGTAATTTACGACTTTTCCCGTTCTTTTAGAAATTCCTTCATAGAATAAATGAAAAAAATGGTTAGAACTTTCGAATAACAGCACCACTTTCGCCTTATCCAACAATCTACTTAAATCCGCATCGGCGTAGATCACGTTAATATCGGCCGATAATTGGTCGGCGCCTCCGAATGAATTACCCATGGATTCGATGGGTAATAGCAGACTATATAAATACCGTTTAAACGACAACGTGTCAACAAGTCGTTTATTGCATAATTCATGGCATGACACGACGTGCTTTTAAGACTTCAGATCAAACACTCCGACGTCGATTGTAAAGTTTATTCTGTTTGTGATCGATTCGACGTGAGACGATCGAGATATCGAAATATCGAGATAAAGTAAAATTCATCTGACTTACCTAGGGAACAGTGTTCGTTCCTTTGTTCGAAAATGGGCACTCTGTGGGCACGGTAAGCACGCACCGATTCCGGTCGAGACGAAAAGAAGACGATCGTAGGTGTTTGCCGGATAAACGAATATAGACAAACGATATAGATAAACGAATATATATGACCATAAAAATTACGCGCGGAAACGCCGAATCCACTAATTGTAGGTTGTGACACGCTTTCATGTATACCGTGCAATGACTCTGCCAGTACTGTGTCACTACGAGGAATGTACAATTCGATCTAAGCATTCGAAAAGCGCGCGGGTGGTGGGGCAGAGGAATGGAGGGGAGAACCGAGTGAACGTCGTGAGCTACAAGACCCGATTGGCTGCCGCGAAGTTAACCCGCCGGGTCGACCAATCGTGGGCCGCTGCTTAAGCCGAAACTTCGATGCTTCTCGACGCATGTCGTCTGCGCAGTGGCGGTAAGTCGCAGGTGGTTCTCTCAAACACTTCAATGTTTGTCCAATTAAAAATTAAAAAACTACAGCGAAGAAACCGTACTTCATTCTAACGGCAGGTTTCTGTTAATTACAGTATTATACATTTTATTTTCTGCATTGTAGTACACGCGTTAAATAGTACAACTTACACGGTTAAATTATAATATTCGGGTTGTAATTTAAGAAACGCAGAAGGAGCAATGACACTGAGCCAGCTAACCAGTTTGTTTTTACTAGAAGAAAATACAAGCGTTAGATCATTGATAATGCTTATTCACCGGCGTGATTAATCTACATCATTAAATACCTTTTACTTGTAAATTGTAACAGTTCCTGCGACTTGCAAGGATGCAAATGCAAGAATGGAGTGCCTAGCATGGGATGTATTGCCTGCGAAAGTTCCTTATAGCTTAAATTTGCACCCACGTCAAATGATTGAGCCTCTTGCACGGTTATTGGATTGATGCCAGGGAAATCTGTAAAAGGAAACAAATTATTTTTAAAAGATGCATTGTTTCCGTGTGAGAAATTCGAATACAAATACACATTTCGATAGTGGACGTGCAAGTATCGAAATGCATGCTATCCGCGTGCTGTAAAACGTAGATCTCTTTTGTTTCCCATCATCTTACGTCTTTAGTCAGTTTTATTCCGTTCGGTGCCTTCTTAGCCTAGTTCGAGATAGGCTAGAATCGAAGGAACAATCAGCATTATGTCGCCCGCCACTTCCAACAGTCGGTACATACCAGATTAAGGTCTAGTGGTGATCAGGCGACGATTGTAATAGAAATCTTATATTTTTTATGAAGAAGACGTCGCGAGATTAAACGAGTAACCGCGGAACGTCGTGAAATACGATACGCGATCAGATATTTCCATTTTCTCTACTCTTATTTTAGCATATATACTATATATACGTATTATTATACATGCAATTGTATTACAACCTGACTTCCAGCCATTAAAGTATATTACGGGAACACCGTAGCTCATGGACCAGACTATGTGGTGTTCCGTGACAAATGGTTTCTGGATTGTAGAGGGGGCTTCGAATGGATCGTCTGTTAACTCGAAATTTAAATCATCTTCTGTGTCGTTACTTTGGAATATCGAATAATTCCCAGGGAACATATGTTTTCTCTGTCTAAAGAGGTACGCCTCTCCGGATACGTCCTGCAAATTATTTATATGTACATACTGAGTAAAAATTTTGACGCATTAAGCCATCGACGTAATTCATCGAAGCACCACCATTGATCTTCGAATTAAATTCGAACTTGATTCACCTTGTTGCCTCGAAGTTCCCATCCATCGGAGACTCTATTCGAAATCTCTAGAAAATTTTCGGCACTCTCGATAAATTCTTCCCACGTAATTGTCCCTGGGCCATCCATCGGAAATCATAAAACTATACAAGTACAATCATACACATGCGGTTAGTATATTTTCTACAAAATGAACGTATAGAATTGATTTCGAATTAATTCATGTGCTCCGTTATCCCCTTCTCCCTCGCTTCTATCCTTGTTCTGCCTATCAAATAACCAGTTCGTAGTTACTTTCGAACGGAATATCCGAAATATCTACGTAAAACCGTACGATATTTGTTTGCTTTTCAAAAAAGTAAATTTGTTCCTACAGTTAACTTACTAAAAATATATAATATCGACATTTCAAGGATGTATCGAGACCTATAGAGTGTACGCATTCACTGATAAAGATATTTGTAGATATGGTGTTTAAGTTTTTGGTGTATTGCAACACACATGATCCATTCATATCGTGACAAAATTAAGAAAGGGGAAGATGCACACCCAAAGGAATGGCTTGTCTCTTTTCTGCCCGACCCCTCGACGTTCAGTCAATTGTCGGCTATTTTGCATCGGCAATGTTCGCCGATGTTCGGTTCTATTCGGTTATCCCCGCTACGTAACATGTATATGTATATACGTATGTATTTTGTCTACATGCCCCGATAGCTGAAACATACATACGTATACATGCATAACGTATGCGTGCTCCAATATATACAGATACACATCACCGTGCAACGATTGGCATCCAATAGCACGTAGCGTTGCAATCAGGAACGTGTCTTCGATAGGTGCATCCTTATTCATTTTTCCGAAAGTTTATCCATAACGATATGTACCGGGGATATTTGCCGTAATTTTTTACACCGATCGTATGCACTGTTAACCAACATAATCGATGTACAACACGAAAAGTGGCTTTTAGGATTCGAGTTACAAATTATTCGCTATTCTAGATCGTACCTATCCGAAGCATAATTTCATGGAAAAGTCTAGACACCTTGAAGCATGGTGAAACTATAAAAATTTATTGACCGGAAGCGGATACATTTGAGTATGGTCTATCGAAAGAAAAATCGATCGTAATTCGGTCGAAAAATCGCACGAGTTGATGGCGGAAAAAGAAGAAAAAATTGAAGCCGGATAGAGGCGAAAAAACTAACCTATGTACGGCCCTGACGTGAAAAGTATTGGTTGCGCGCGCAGCTTGGTAAGGATACAAGACAGCGTCGAGAGGAGGGGAAGGAAGACAGACGCTCGGTGGTCGTGTTTCTTTGTTAATGTTGCACGTACGCGGTGTGTACGAACAAGAGAACAAACACAGTCCCGCGGGTTCTCGTGCGTGATACACAGAAGAAGTCGACTGGTGTTGCTCACTCGCGCGCACGAGAGCGTATGTAGAAACGACACCGTACGCCTCGTCCTCGTTCACTACCGGATAGGTAGCTACGGATAGGAAAAAAAAGAAGAAGCAGAAAGATATACATATAGGGTTAGGTTGGGGGACAGAAGAGATGCGTCTGAGACCGGCGACAACGGACGCATATCAAGAGTTCGGAAATCGGTGTACAGTGTACAATATCGAATTTCTCAAGTGAGCTTCGCAACGAGTCGAAGCACCAGCGTGTGTCCGTCCATCTATCTGTCTGTCGGATTGTCTGTATCTTTAATGAGGTGAGGTGGGACACGGGGGAGAGTGAGGTGAAGCGCAAGGTGAGGTGAAGTGAGGTGTGGCGAGGTACGGTGAGGTGAGGTGTGGTGCGGCAAGGAGTGGTGCGGTGCGGTGCGGTGCGGTGCGGTGCGGTGAGGTGTGGTGAGGTGAGGTAAGGTGAGCAAGCCGAGGCTGAAGAGAGTGAAGTGACCGAGCGCAAGTTCGACGAGAGGACGCGCAACGTCGTTTACGCACGACAAGAAAGGGACTATAGGTGACTTGTGACTGTGAATAATCGGTGTGTGAAAAATAAAGAGAAATAGAGCCAAACGCAAGACGCACGAGGGGTGGAAAACTAAGGAAAAGCTGAGAAAGCTGAAAAATTTAGAAACAGAGTAAACGCGTACTCAGGAGCGGAGAGAGAGAGAGAGGGAAAGAAGAGCGCGAAGTCTGCGAACGATGACGACGCGCGTTCGTTCCGCGGTCATGCGTCCGCAATTCGTCGAGCCATGATGCGAAGTACTGTATCTAGTATAGGCTGCTGGCCACGGCTGTGGCTCGTCGTGTTCGTGACGTGTGTGTGACCAAAGGGATACGATTCCTGTCGTGTTCAGCTCCGTTGCTTTCCCTTTTTGTTCTTTCTTTCCGTTTGGATATCTACTATGTGCGCTGTATTCCTCTCGAATCGTTTCTTCGAACACCAATAGAGAGGGAAGAAAAATAAATACAGTCATGTCTTACCGTAGTAAGCAATTCTGCCTCCCTGTTTAGCTGTGAAGCACCAACCAATCAGATTTCTCTACCTGCTTCATAATTCTAAGCCGGTTGCCCCCGCTTGGCTTACTATCGTGAGGCACTACTGTACGTGGACGGGTACGTTCACGATTCTTCCCCGTTCTGCGCTGCTGTCGGACATTGTTAGCTCGAACGAAACGGTGGTTCTGTTTACACTGGAAGAAATTGACAGTCTTCGAAGATGTACGCGAAGGGGAAGGGTTCATCGGTACCCTCTGACTCTCAAGCCAGAGAAAAGTATGTATAATTCTAAATTGTAATNAAAACTAAGGAAAAGCTGAGAAAGCTGAAAAATTTAGAAACAGAGTAAACGCGTACTCAGGAGCGGAGAGAGAGAGAGAGGGAAAGAAGAGCGCGAAGTCTGCGAACGATGACGACGCGCGTTCGTTCCGCGGTCATGCGTCCGCAATTCGTCGAGCCATGATGCGAAGTACTGTATCTAGTATAGGCTGCTGGCCACGGCTGTGGCTCGTCGTGTTCGTGACGTGTGTGTGACCAAAGGGATACGATTCCTGTCGTGTTCAGCTCCGTTGCTTTCCCTTTTTGTTCTTTCTTTCCGTTTGGATATCTACTATGTGCGCTGTATTCCTCTCGAATCGTTTCTTCGAACACCAATAGAGAGGGAAGAAAAATAAATACAGTCATGTCTTACCGTAGTAAGCAATTCTGCCTCCCTGTTTAGCTGTGAAGCACCAACCAATCAGATTTCTCTACCTGCTTCATAATTCTAAGCCGGTTGCCCCCGCTTGGCTTACTATCGTGAGGCACTACTGTACGTGGACGGGTACGTTCACGATTCTTCCCCGTTCTGCGCTGCTGTCGGACATTGTTAGCTCGAACGAAACGGTGGTTCTGTTTACACTGGAAGAAATTGACAGTCTTCGAAGATGTACGCGAAGGGGAAGGGTTCATCGGTACCCTCTGACTCTCAAGCCAGAGAAAAGTATGTATAATTCTAAATTGTAATTACATCGTTGAAACATTAACGGGAGAGAAAAAAAAAAATATTTACCGATTGATCGATCAGTGACTCCATTTTTTTTTCTGTCTGTACGCCGAGCGTGCGTGTACGTATTCATCGGTTCGAAACCGGAGAATCGGATTCATTGGACCGCTTCAATTTACGGATTCAAATATTTACAGAATTACTCGGTTCTTTCTTTAAGCTACGGTAATATTTCTTGCAATTTTCATGTATTGAGTAAAAATTAATAATACATTCGACGTACATTCTCCTCAAACTTTTTAGACAATTTAAGAAAAGCGAACCGATGCATGATGCAGTTACATGCGATACGATCGATTTCCTAACATTTATTTCAAAACAATCTCTGCCTATTTAAATATTTCCATCTTTCGTCTTTTTCTCGTTCTTTCTCCTTCCCTCTCTTCCTCTTTCCTTTTTTTTCTATTTCTTTTTCTCTCTATTTCTTTCAAGACAAACTCCGAGAGACAAGCGTTCACGTGAATCAACGTTGTTTACCTGCTCTACAACCTGCTTTCTCGTAAATTCAACTATAACTGTTTGCTATGACTCACTGGAGTCACTTGTCTCGCGAATCAGGCCGATCGGGCGCCATGTTTTTATCATTTGCACACCGAGAAGTGGTATACACAAAATATTAGAACAATGACACTTCGTCGGACATCGTCGTTTTGCTTGTCTCACATTCCGGAAATCGAGAACCTGGTTTCTTTGTAACAGTAATTGACAATAAAGATTTTACTATTTTCTTGGTTGATGTTTCTTGCACTTTATTTGAAGTTACTTAAATATGAAACACCTGTATTTTTCGCGCGCGTTACAAATTAATCGTTTACGTTTTGAAATGTCTTACTCGCACCCCTATTAAAATAATTTGTGATGTTTCAGATTAGCTTTGTACGTGTATGAATATTTATTGCATGTTGGCGCACAAAAAGCAGCACAGACGTTCTTATCCGAGGTAATTTCTTTATTTTCGAAGTTAGTATAAATTTTGAAAAAAATTATGCATTATTATTATTATTATTATTATTATTATTATTATTATTTCTTGCACAGATACGATGGGAAAAGAATATCACTCTTGGGGAACCACCTGGATTTTTACACTCTTGGTGGTGGTAAGCACTATTTCTGGTATAAAGTCTGTAATACATGAAAAATTCTGAAATATATTAAATTATTTTGAAATATTTTAGTGTATTCTGGGACTTGTACTCTGCGGCACCCGAAAGACGAGATTCCTGCGAACACAGTAGCGAAGCCAAAGCTTTCCATGATTATGTTAGTGTATATTAATATTATCACATATGTAATATATTTATGAACCATATAAATATTTTTTCAACACTGTTTTTGTTCACAGGGCTTTGTAAACAGTGGTTATGGAGTCAATGGTATTGCACATGTAAGTTAACTTGTATTAATAACCAATATATCTAAAATTTTATTCAAACTAACATAAAAACATTGATAAATCATCATATAGTAGGAAAATAATTGCAAAATGTTTTCAGAATGCTGGTCCAGCGCCATCCCCCATAGGACAAATGCCACCCAACGATGGTATGCCTGGTGGACCAATGCCTTCCGCATTCTTTCCTGTAAGTTTATGTACATCTATTCATTCATACCTTCATTTTCTTTGAATTCAACAAATAAGTAACTTTTACTCCAAAAATTGAGAAAATTTCTGAATTAATATTAATTTATTTTGATATCTGTGTTTGCAATTTTTTGTCACATTCAAGTTATTCAATTATGTACAAAAAGTGGAATATATCTTGGATACTATTGTGCTATCTTGATTATATTCTAATATTACAGTACAATACTGTTGTCAATATATTTTTTAGGAATATGTATATGTGAATAACTATTTCTTGTTCACACATTAATTCCTTTACTACTTCTCATTTTATGAGTATAAAAATGACAGAATGTTC